GAGCAAACTCAATTCAAAGTTCTAATATATTGTTTTGTAGAAAAATGGTGACGAACGAGCACACAGTCTACCTAATAATGGTACACAGTCTACCAATTAAATGGTAAGTGGATGCTATGACACATAGACATCTACGGATACATCTATCCTCGATTAAGAATCAAAATGCAGATGCGTTGCCACTCATGAGGGTTCTTTACACTCATTATACTAACCACAGTAGAATTAAGTTTCTATTTAATTCTAATATTCAATGAGGGCGTGGTTCTACCCCTGCCGAGCCGACCCATTCATGCTACAACCGTAATATAGCTGCAGCGTGGCTCTACCACGTAAAAACACTTGTTGCAAATGCACGTTTGGTTTCTTTATCTGGATATATATTTTTCTCTTTTTGTTTTGTTTTGAAAAGGTGTAGTGATTTAATTTCGTCATCATGTATAAATATCACAGCCCTTCACAAATTCGCTGCTGAACATAGGTCTCCCCTAAGGAACGCTACAAAACACTGTCTTAAGGCACCTGCGTTCATCAACTTCGTGTATTACCAGTACAGTACCAGATCATTACTTCATCTAGGAAGGCCTGCTCTAAACATTGTTTACCGGTACTTTTGTAGCGGTACTCGAGAATGTTTCTTCCCCATCAGTTATCAGTTTTTTGAGCCACCTTACTCCCTAATCATATCTTAAGCCATTGATATTCATACCTTATCAAAGGGCCAAGTTATCGTACAATTTTCCAAGCCAGGAGGAGGCAAGGAAAACACACTAGTGTATACTTCACTACAAATGCAAAATTAATCGCGTCACTATACGATACAGCATTTGTGTTTGTGTTCATTGAATTTACGCGTACCATCAAATTGTATATAGACACGTATACAATTTGATACACTGGTGTCGCTGTTTACATGCGTAAGCAATGTAGGGCGCGGAAAATTTATAGATAAACAAATTATCTTAGTAGTTAGATAAAGACCATGACAAATGATTGATTTTCGAAACGTCAATATAATATGTCGCTTCTTGAATTTATTTTTAACATCTTTCATAAATCTTTCGCCTGAAGGCTTTTCAAGCTGCATTAACTAAGGCCATGTAACTTTAAAACATTCTATTTATTTTTATTTATTTATTTACATCTTATTGCAACACTTCTTCAACTAGGGGCTACTAAGGGCAGACTTAATGCCATATGGCATTTTCTAAATAGTTCTAAGTAGTTTAATTTTCTAATTTAGTTTTGCGGTTTTGATTTAGGACAAAAAGATTGGCGAGACATCAATATTTAATTAAGAATAAAGTGGTTATTTCAATCACACACTTTAATATATAAAGACTTAAAAAGGCCTCATATGAATAATTAAGTTGTGCTATAAAAATAATATTGTGTTAAAGTTAGAGCTACGCTGCAGCTACATTGTGACTGTATCACGAATGGGTCGACTTGCTTGGAGAAGGATCACGCTCTAACAATATACCAGCGACGAATAACATCTTAATGCTGCTGTGTTTTGTACGGTGTGCTTACGAGAACCGGACACTGCTTTTAACAGAAAAAGACTGATTCTATCTTAGTCCACAGGGGTGACGACTAATCTGAATTTTGTCTCTTAATCGAGGATAGATGTAGATGTTAATTGGGCCACATCATTCATTTACTATCAGGTGGACCGTGTGCTCGCTTATCATCTACATTATAAAAAAAGTTGTGATGATGTCACCTTATTCCATAACAATATAAGAGTAGAACTCATCAATTAACTCAGATAATATAATATTATCATCACTCATCATTACAGCCCTTCACAAGTCCACTGCTGAACATAGGTCTCCCCCAAGTAATGCCACAAAGCATGGTCCTGAGCCACCGGCATCCATCGACTTCCTGCATATCTTACCAGGTCGTCACTCCATCTAGTGGAGGGTTGCCCTACACTACGCCTACCGGTACGAGGCTGCCACTCGAGAACCTTTCTTTCCAATCGGTTATCGGTTCTTCGAGCTATATGACCCATTGCCACTTCAGCTTACTAATCCGTTGGGCTATGTCGGTCACTCTAGTTTTACTGCGGATGACCTCATTTCTGAGTATATCACGCAGAGAAACTCCAAGAATAGCCTTCTTCATAGCTCGCTGAGCGACCTTGAGCGTCCTCATACGGCCAGCAGTGAAGGACCACGTCTCAGATCCTTAAGTCATCACTGGCAACATGCACTGGTTGTACAATCTAGTTTTTAGAGATTAAAGTATACCTGACGAGAAGATATGTCGTAATTTCCCGAAGTTAAATCCGTCGATTGACCTCTCGGTCGAAGTTGGACTTACCTAGTCAGACTATTTGTCGCAGATAAAAGTACTCGTCAACAACTTCGTGCGTAGTGCTCCCAAGAAATACCGGCATAGGTGTGACATGGACATTAAACATGATCTTTGTTTTGTCCATGTTCATCTTAAGAGAGACACCATTGAGGTCATTGAGCATAGTGCTTAGGTCCTCCAGCGATTCTGCCATAAGGACTATACCGTCGGCAAATCGAAGGTGAGTGATGTACTCGCCACTGATGTTAATACCGTATCCTTTCCAGTCCAGTAGCTTGGAAACGTCTTCCAATGCTGCGGTGAATAGTTTCGGGGATATAACGTCACCCTGTCTTACACCTCTCTGCAGTTGGATAGGTTTCGAGCTCTGGTTCTGTACTCGGATAGCCATCGTAGCCCTATTGTACAAACATTTCAGCACTTCAATATACCGAAAGTCAACTTGGCACCGCTGAAGGGACTGTAGCACCGCCCAAATTTCGACGGATTCAAAGGCTTTCTCATAGTCTACATACTACAGGCAAAGTGGAAGATTGTACTTTTCGATCTTCTGTACAATCTGACGCAGGGTATGTATGTGGTCTATGGTACTGAAGCCTTTCCGGAAACCGGCTTGTTCGGGAGGCTGGAAGTCGTCGAGTCTGAGTGCGAGACGATTCGTAATGACTCTCGAAAACAGCACGTAGACGCGGCTCAGAAGGGAAATCGGTCTCTAGTTCTTCAAGAGAGCGTTGTCGCCTTTCTTAAAGAACAAGACCACCGCACTTCTGCTCCACGCCTCCGGAGTAGTGCCACCATGGAGGACGGAATTGAAGAGCTTCTGAAGGACTTCAAGTACCGGTGTTCCACCCGCTTTCGGAAGCTCCGCTGTAATTCCATCCTCTCCTGGGGCCCTGCCGTTTTTAAGGTGCTAGAGAGCCATTCTAATCTCGCTCAGACTGACGACCAGGATATCATCGAAATAGTGTTGGATAAGACCAACGATGATGTGTACAGCTGTCCATAGAACCTCTCAATCTCACTCAAAATCTCAGGTGTCCCGGAAACGATGCTGCCACACTCAGTCTTCAGCTTTGACAGTTGGCTCTTTCTGGCAGACAGATCTCTGGCAAAGACTTTGGAGCCCTGGTTACGCTCGATCGCTTATTTAATACGATCAGTATTTTGCGTAAGTGTCGTCGCATGCATTTGGAGATCTGTCTGTTCAGTTGCCTGTATGCTGTCAAATCTGTTGACGATTGCAGTATCGTCTCCTGAGATTAAGAGTGTGATCTGAGAGTTTTTGTGTTTTTCTGCGGCAGGTCTTGCAGAACTTAGCTCCGATCGCATGGGAAGTTTCCACGAGCTTGTCATTCATATCGTCCACTGCATTGCAATCCTCTAGCCACTGAAAGCGGTTTTGTAACTCGAGCTGAAAGGTTTCAGGATTCTGCATTAGAGAACGAGGTGGACAGAGCGTTGACTTCATTAGACGAGACCTCTCCAACTTAACGTTTAGATTCAGTGTGCGTCTAACCATTCGGTGATCGCTGCCATTTTTCACCCTTGCGATCACTGAGACATTACTAAACAGTTGGCGTCTGGTTGTCATAATGAAGTCAATCTCATTTTTGTCGAACCTTCGGGGCTCGACCAGGTCCACTTTCTGTGGGGCCGCTTCTGGAAGAAAGAGTTCATCATAAAAAGTCCCTCTTTCTCCATGAAGTCGGCCAGATGCTGGCCCCTTGGATTCCGTTACCCTATCCCAAATTTCATTACCTTCAGCTCACCGTTATTTCTTGTGCCCAGTTTTGCGTTGAAGTGTCGCATTAACACCGTATAGTGAGTTTTGGAGGAATGCATGGCTCTAGAAATGTCCTCATACATTTCCTCCACCTCCACATCGGGATGTTCCGACGTGAGCGCGTAAACCTGTATGAACTTTAGTGGACACCGTTTGGTGATTCTGACTATAAAGTACGCAAACCTTGTCGATACACTCCCAATCTTTAAAACGTTGTTAACGAGAGACTTGTGGTCGATAAATCCAACATCTCCTTGGGACAGATGGTCACCCTCCCGATGATAGAGCAAGTTACCAGATTCGCGGATTACCCTGTCCTTCCTCTCTCTTTAGACTTCGGATAATCCTGTAATATGCCAGCGCAACTTGTCATTCTCTTCCTCCAGCTCCAGGATCTTCTCATCAGTCCTCAGGGTGAGTGCGTTAAATGTTGCCAAGTCGAGTCGTCGCAGGTGGTAACCGAACCTCCACCGAAGATTCTTAGCACCCCCTGCCCCCCCGTTATCATGGTCGCCACCGTAGCCAGGAATAGCGGGGCCACCGGGGACTGGGGGCCGTGTATTTGTGTAATTGTTCATGGGGGTATATTGCCATAGTTGCCACGCTTGGCGAGCGGATTGGCAACTGTAGTTTTTTTTGTCGTACAGTTGCTGTTATCAGGAAGATGCTGCTGCCCATCTCGTACCTGTTTCCCTCTGTCGCCTTTTACGAAACTCACGGGAAGATATGGGGTAGTGGATATTCTTAACCGCCACTACACGGGAACGAATATAATATATTCTATAGAAATAAATATACTGATTAAGGTTTCTCGTACGTAAACTAGCATTAGTAGTAATTATAAGACATGTAATCTGATAATTTTGAGGTGAAAATGAATATCTGTTTTTAGTTTTCCGACACCAACTCGACAGTAAGCATCCTGAATTTTATCCCGGAAACTGAGGACCATGAGAAAAATCTTATTTGTCGGGCAGAGAATCCACGCTTGTCCAATGCCGTCATCGAAGACTTTTGGAAGCTTAATGTACACTGTAAGTCACTATTCTGATTTTATTTGATTTGTTGAATTGTAGTCCTTTCAATATCCTTTTATTAAAGATAATTAATAGAATCTGGCGTTACTTTACTTAAACCCATTTTTTTTTCATAAAATACTAACAATTTTGTTACCATTACTAATATTTCCTTTAACCACTCCTAGTAAGCTTCAATGCTTGTGTTAGGAGTAGTACACGATAATAGTCAAATGGCAGATTCGAACCCACGACGTCCTTTTTTTAGTTACTATCGCTTTGAAGTGAATCATTTGTCACTTAGGGATATTCTTTTTCCGCGTTTCTACTCCAGGAGCTCTGTTATCAATGTATCATTATAATTTTCATCATTGCAAGCCGTTTTTGCAAAACGTTTTTAATAACATCTTATTCAATGACCTTAATAGTGTCCTCAAATTGAGACATCTTAAAGCTACACACGACGTCCTTGTATTATTATTAACCTATAACGAATTGTCCGACAAGGTAAATGTAACTTACTCAGTAAAGTGAATGGACGGATCCCACTCTGAATTTCTTTGCAGGATAAACTTTATAATGTGTATTGGCAGCTTCGTACCGCCAAAAGTAGTGTAAGGTGGTCCGTCAGTAAAAGGGCGACGACTTGGAAGAGATACAGGAAGTCGATGGATACTGATGGCTCTAAATCGTGTTTTGTGCAATTCCTTAGGAAAATCCTATATTCATCAATGAACTTGTGATAGGTTGTTATAATGATGGTAATTATTGTACTGATAATAATACCATGCTACCATCGATAGATGCTCTGTGATTTTACTAACCATAGTTATCTCTTACGGAACTCACGAAATTAAACAAAGTGGTGGATACAATGCCATTACAATTATAATACAAATTATAATCATTAATTCATTTGTAAATGTACACCCTGTTTCAAAATATGTTAAAAGTTTGTGATTCTGTTAAGTGTCTCCAGAAATGCAGAACATTTGTCAAAGTGTAGGAACAGACAATCAAGAGAACCATTTCAAGCGTACTTAATGATAATGTTGAGCTTCAGGTGTAATCGGACTCGCATTAATTAATGAAAAGACGACGTGCCGCGCAATGAACTTAATCTTTCAACATGGAACTATTAATTTATTGAGCTCTTTTTATTCATCTTCGAAAAAAAAAACAGTCGAATAAATTAAAATACAATTAAATTAATATTTACAACAATTACGAACTTTAAATTTTATATTATGTTTATAGCTCCTATAGGTTTTTTTTAAGTATTTAAAACTGGTTAAATTATATATCTTAATACTGTTAATACTCTTTATTAATGCTATTTATTTTGCTGTCAATTTGAACTCAGCCAGATACGATCATCCTTATTAAGAATGAAAAATTACAAGTGTGTTTTTAAGTGGTAGAGCCATGCTGGATTTATATTGGGTCAACTCGAACGGGAAAGGACCACGCTGATTAAGGATAAATAAGAAAAGATAGTTTTAATTTGGCAGTATCTCCTTATTCATCTTTAAGCGTAACTCTCTTGTAACTCGTTTGTAATGACTTCGAGCATATCACAGATTTCAATGGTATGATTGGCATTACTTTGATTTAAGATCTAACACGGAAGATATAAACATTCTTTGTATCTACAGACTTATAAAGCTGTCAGATTTGCTTATGTTAGTGAAAGTTAATTTAAATATTCTATCTGAAGTTAATGGTAATAAAGAGATTTATTTATGTAATTTGAAGTAAAAGTAAAGTTAGTATACGTAAATATTTTAGCGCAATGTTAATTAGATTGAAAATAAATTATTTTGAAATGTTTACTTTATAAACATGGCTGATGGGAGTAAATATATTGTCAATCATAACACGAATATTTGCATACGGCGGGAATTTCACTCACTGCTTCCAGTTTTGCAGCAGCGTTATTGCTATAAACACTTACGCCTGTCACCCAGAGGGGTAGGCAGAGACTACGGACTTCCATTTGTTAATATCCTAGCACACCTTTCTCGCCTCCTTTACGTCCATGTACCTACGTTTACATGCTTGTCAATTAATGGTTCTCTTAATTTGGCCCATCTTCATTATATTGCCAATTTCGTCGATGCAACATAAATTTGCTTTTACACTCTTTCCTTGTTTGATTCGTTCTATATGACCAAATCATTTGTTTGTGTCATCTAAGTTTAATATATTAAGATTAAAATATCATCAATCTCTAGATAGAAATCCACAGATTTTGGTATTTCAAATTTAACGCATAATTTATTTTATCGGGATATCCAAATTGCTCGTGATAATAATTAGTTCTGAACGAAATCGGTTGAAGGCTCCAACGGAAATTTCCTGATCTTTATTGTTCCCCGAGGGCTCGTTTTTTAATCGCGGTTCAAAGATTTTATCAATGCAGAATTGTACAAATGATTGTGAAAAGAATTCTGCTCCTTTCAATTACGAATATTACGTTTGTACTTAACATGAGAGAGAAAAAGTATTTTTTCAAGTTGCATTAAATTTGTTACGTTTAAAATATTGAAATTTAATATATCAATAACGCGAAAATTGGTTTAATGGTTTTGTAAAACAATAGTCGTAAGTATAAGCCTAACGTTTAACCATAGAGATAATATACATTAGATTGGCGATGGTGTGATTAGGTTGAGACTAAAATCCGAAAACATCGGTGTACGTGAAATGTGCACGCGTGGAAGACAAATAGTTCTGCACCATGCACTCTCTGCTTCAATTTAAATTATCGATACATGTTGCAGTATATTTGCTTTTTTTATTAGTTGCGATGATTTAAGTGAATACGGCAAAGCAAAAAAGATATGTATGTATTTGTGTTTATCTGTTCCCTTGGATCTTCTAAACTGCTCATCGTAATTTGACAAATTTGATATCAATAGAAGTGTTGTGCCTTTCCGCGGATTTTAGCTTTCATGAAGTCACATTAAAGCTACGAGGGTGGATTGAAAAGTACTCGGCCTAACTAAGATAATAAACACATACTAAATCAGTTATATTTTTATTTTTCTACATAATCACCATCAAGTTCAATACACATTTGCCACCTCCCCTTCCAAGCATTTAGACCGTTGAAAAAAAATGATTCTTCCTTAGAGTCAAAATATGCGTCTACAGCTGCTTTGACCTCGTCGTTTGTCGAAAATCTTTGACCTCCCAAGTGCTTTTTTTAGGTTAGGGGAACAGAAAGAAGTCTGATAGTGCCAGATCAGGTGAATACGGCGAATGCGGTAACAGTTCAAAGCCACAGTTGTGAATTTCAGCCATTGACTGTACTGACGTGTGAACACGGGCGTTATCTTGATGAAACAGGACTTTTCTTCTGAGCATTCCTCGACGTTTTTCTTTTATTTCCTCTCATAAACGACGTAGTAAGGTGCAGTAGTAATCAGAGTTTATAATCTGACCCCTTTCAAGATAATCAATCATAATCACACCTTTCGAGTCCCAGAATACTGAAGCCATCACCTTATTTGCCGACAAAATCGACTTAGCCTTTTTAGGGGGTGGTGAACCAGGTCTTCTCCACTGTTTTGATTGTTGTTTTGTTTCCGGTGTACAGTAATGAACCCATGTTTCGTCCATAGTAACAAAACGATTCAAAAAATCATCTGCATCGGCTTCAAATAACTCCAAACATTCGCGTGAAATAGTCAATCGCGTCCTTTTTTGTTCAACTGAAAGCAGTCGCGGATCCCACCTCGCAGACACCTTGTGGAAACCCAACTCGTTGACAATGATGTTTTGAGTTCGTTCATAAGAGATGCCTATAATCTCGGCTATCTCTTTAATTTTTAATCTGCGGTCTCCCATTATTAAATCAAGTACTTTTTTAATATTTTCGTCAGTAGTTGACGTCGAAGGCCTTCCAGAGCGGGGTTCATCTTTCACACTCTCTCTACCACGCTTAAATTCTGCTATCCATTTTTTGACGGATGAATATGACAGAGCACAATCGCCTAATATACTGACCATGTCATCATGGATGGCTTTTGATGATAGCCCCTTCTTATGGAGGTACTTAATGACGGCATGCTGCTCGATTTGCTCCATTTGCGGAAATTATGTCCGATTACTTTGTTAATAAATTTATAAAATCACAACTGATTATCGCACACGTTTCGAACTTCACACAATGAACTAGTCTGAACTGAACTAAATAATGTGGGTAGATTTGATTTTTAGAATTGAATGGATCTGTGTTAGGCCGAGTACTTTTCAATCCACCCTCGTACTAACGTGGCTTTTTGCGCACATATACTAATAATTCCCTATGGGATATTGGCTTCGCCATGGGAGTGCATTTAAGTTTAAGTTGCCGTCTCGTGAGTCTAGAACTCAGTTCCTTCAAATTCATCATCCGTTTCAAAGGTTTGTGATCCGTAAAAATACTAAATTTTTGACCAAAGACGTAAGGCCTGAAATATTTTATAGCTAACACTATGGCAAGAAGCTCTTTTTCTATTGTATTGTAATTAACCTCACTACAGTTTAGGGTCCTAAATGCATAGCAGATTAGTTTTTCTGAACCTATTGGCCCTTGTGATAGTATGGCTCTAAGGACTACGTAAGAGGCATCCGTTGTGAGATTAAATTCCTTTATTAAATGAAATCCGGGAATTGTAGTGCAGGGTTGTTATTTAGTAGAATTTTGCATTTCTGGAAGCAACTAACGTACTCTTTATCCAGGTGGACCTCCTTCCCAAATCCGAATTATAATCGAATTATATCACGAGTGGAAATCCCGCGTCGTTCGTTCGGTGTTGCAGTTGTTCATGGGCGGCGGTAATCATTTACCATAGAGTTAACCGTATGCTCGTTTGCCCCCTCTCCTGAAATTAAAAAAAAAAACTTCCAAATAAGCGTAATTATCGGTCACGGTAGTAATATACTCGTGTATTATGCAATTACATACGATTTCCTCCCTAAAGTGCACATCCTCGGTGGGTATGTTGGCAGGAATTCGAATGACTATTGAA